ATAGACAGAAATGTGCCACCATATATTTAAACTACAAGAATATCATTCGAAACCACCTTTATTTTTTGCCAGGAAAGAAATGCAACGGTGGGTCCGTAGTCAGTGGTAACGCTGGTATATGTCTTTTTTAGAGCTTTTGTTACGGGTGCCCAGAATGTTCTAAATGGAGTTCAACACTGGATTGATGTAGAGCATTATAGTTTGAATTAACGTTCACGTCATAGGCACTTTTTTTTAGACTGCTCAGCACTTATGCAATACATTGTAGATATACATGTAATTTATATGATTTGTATTACATCGACTTCAGGGTAACATTTGGAAGTGGATATGATTTTATTGTTACCATAGCTAGTATAGATGTAAGAGGGGTTATAAGGTTGTATATTATATGCAAACAAAAAAAAATCCCAATACGTGGGTAAATATTGCTTAAAATGTTACATATACATATTAATCTCAATTATAATTTCATAACAACACATGCATATATACATTTAAATTCAACAAATTTTAATATTATATTAATGGACCAATTTTTACAAATATATAATGCTGTTTTTCTCAAAATATTGCTGATCGGAATGGCACAAAGAACTGAATCCATATCTTTAACACAATTTGCATACACATAGGCATATTTACCTGTATTCACTTGCGGGCAAAACACGTATGAAAATATCTGTACTTTATTTGGTACATGGGAAATAATGTTAATAACCGGGTAAATGGTACTATCTCTAATAATTCACATGAATTGGTATAATGACTTCTATTTCCTATTCACATAGTACTGGCCAAAGACCAAAACTAATTTCTCTTTTAGAGGGGTTGTGCTCACTTAGTACTAAGACTTCGTTCTTCACAAATCACCTTTTAATACAGTGAAGGTTAAATTGCCGAAATTTCATAAAACATTTATATAATGGAGATCATCTCTTACAATATATACATTTTTTAGGTGTTCATTTTAACAGCCATTTTGATTCGTCTGATCTCCTAATAAACAAGTAAGAATTTTACGGTTATGTTTACAGGGCTATGCTATCAAGGGTTTCTCGATGCTTGTATGGAGATAGCCAGACGAAAATTTTACGCTCCAACCAAAATAGAAATGCTTGAAAATTTGGCTGATCACTGTGAACTCAGTCTTAACCTCAAAGACAATGATCTTGCCAACAATCTTCCACGACTTCACTTCCGTCGTCTAGGGTTACAATACCGCCAGGGGTCCATGTTTGCAATGCCGCGACGAGTGATAGAGATGACTGAAGAAACTACAATAGAGGACCTTCTGACGACACAAGAAAAGAAACTGAGGCAAGCCTCGAAAGAGGACATTGAGGCATTTTTGCGGAAGAGGAGAATGACGTATCAGCCTACTTCCGCTGCCTCCCTATTAGGTGGCACAAAGTCGCCCAATTCTGAATAATAGTTTTTTATTACGACTGGAAAGCGGGATTGTTGATGAAAAGAAAGAGTTTGTATTACATAAGATTACAAAGGATGGTTTTAAAGACTTGCCAGTCAGATTCCTTAATTTTTTGCCTACTATTATTTACTAAAATCGGTCACTTCAGAGTAATGAATGTAGTAAGAAATTTGTAAAAAATAAGCCCATAAACATTGATAAAGGGCAAGGTTTTACCGATAGAGAAAAGTAACCATTGAAGTATAAATAAATACTGGTATGTTTGTACTTGCGTGATTCTCATTTTAAAAGATGTATGTATGAATGACATTTTTTCAACAATGTAGAAAAGGTAAATTATGATTTTATATTTACGTATAATTTATATTCGTTACCGTTTCAACATGACAGATGCGTATATAAATTAGTTATAATATTGACAACTTTTTGAATATTTTTATATGACCAGTATTTTTATTGAATGTATAAAGTCTATAAATACATTATGAGTATACTTTGTCATGGTATTCATATGTTGTTTTTAATATGTGTAAACATTTACGTATGTCGAGTTCATGAAAGACCATACATGTACGTGCCAGTGTTTCAGATTTATATGCCTTAGATTGAGTATTGATTTTGAAATATAAAAATATTAAGAGACAAAAATAAAAATTATTATAATCATGAATTAATTAAGAAATAAATTTGAACTTTCTGAATAATACTTTTTTGCCAAATTAATATAACTTACAAAGTGTTAAATAACTATTCTATTATTGATGCCAGCAACTGTTTTGGAATTATAAAATTATGTTTTATTTTATTTCTTGCACATGGTTTTCACAGTAGATACTGGACCACGTAATCTTTTGATTTGAGGTAACATATTGAAATGATGCAGTGCAATACATTTTTTGAAACATTAGGATGTTTAGGTAGATCAGTCAACTTTTTACTTAAGATAGTTAGACTATATTTGACGGAGTGCCATATCGGAAAGCTTGAGTAGTTATTTTCTAGGAATTTCATTCTTTATAAGAGTGATATAATAAGGTATTTTAATTATTGCATAATTTTTCTTTCTAAATTTAAAAAATTAAGGAGAATAATCGAATGTAAATGAAATGGCTAGAAGGCATGGTTCTGATATGATATCTTTGTCCCAATGGTTATTAACAATTTCTTTGTTGAAAACCTTTGTCGTTTATATTTCCATATACAGACTTCTTTCAAACCCTTTGTCTTTGTTACTTGTCATATCCAGTATTTGTCTTTCATTTAATACTTGTGAAGTAAAGATATATCTTGAAAATATCTGTTCTTGTTGTCATTTGCACTATTTCTGTAGTTATGCAAATTTCCTCAAAACAAAACGTGCATTCGCCAGATACATTTGTATGCCTCGAACCTATAACCAATCATTTATGCCTCATGTATGAAGTACTTGTCTCAGTCAGGAGGGGAGGGGGCGTTACTTTCAGTGAAGTGCAATGTTGATGATGATCATATTTTATAAAATTCACACATTTTTAAACAAATTGCGCCCCGTTATTAGCAAACCTATTTTTTATCCTGCAACTACCCTTTGCATTGACCTAATAAAGGCAAACTAACAAACTGAAGCTTTATTCGGTCAATGTCCTAATAAAGCCTCATATTCCGACGTTCTAAAAGCATTGTGACGACGTCTATTGCAATGTTTGTAACGCAATTGGCATTATAGTTTCCTCTGCAGAGATGCGTCTAAATGGGGTTGAAAGAATTTGTTTCAAATCGTTTACATTTTGTGGCCGACGTATTGTCAATTTACATGTATTTAAATATATTTGGTTCCCAGCATTGGATAAGAAATATATCTGCGATATTCTGTATTTGGTAACTCTTATATATAAAGAAAGATAAATGCTATCATATAGAAATAATAATTTATTTTTTTTAACACAATATCTTTAGTGATACTTTTACACTTTTTTTCAAATATAATAAATATCTTTATAGCTAAAAACTAAATGCCGAGGCTCTCTTTGCCGGTGGTGTAGACATATGGTTGTAGCTGGAGAGCAGAATGACAAACATTGGATATAACCTGCTTGTATGGGCTATCATGTTTTTACTTACCCTCGATGAACATAGCCAAATTCTCTCATCAGCTTTATTACAACCACAGTAACCATGTATTTTATCCCAAGCGAAATCATTGATTGTCTAAAGTTATTCATTGAATGTTTTAGGTTTTTTTCTATGATAACTGCCATCTACAGATGAAAATTACAATACCGATTTGTGTGTGCACATGTGTAGACTACGAGATTATGAAACTATGTCGTCCCGTCTATAAATAGAAAAATATTTAAAACCAGCTCTGTAAATTATAAATATGTCGCAGATAACAAATAACTGAAATCGTTTACATTAATTGTTTATTTTCATTTGTTTAATCTCTCGAAGAAAAGGCTTGTTGTGTCATTCATGACAGGTCACAGGTGATCCGAAAAACAATCAATCCGATAACAATTATCACTCAGTCAATTTACATGTATTTACTCAATTTTTATGTCGACACGATATATTCCCCGTGAGCTTGAGGTAAAAGATACCATAGAGTCTTGCTTATCTGTTTCATATTTGGATCTCTTACTAGAAAAAGACGTTAATGGTTATCTAACAACAAAGCTTTATGATAAACTTGATGATTTTCAATCGTCAACTTCCCTTAATTACTTTTGCAGCAATATGCCTTTGTCACCTGCATACAGACTTTATATTTTTCAGGTGATTCGATACGCGAGAGCATGCTCTATCTATGAAAAAAATTTAAAACTAGGTAAGTTATTGACAAACAAGTCGATGATGCTCGTTTAAATTTCGTAAGTTTTGCGCCATGGTCGATACAATGAAAAATGTCAAGCTTTATTTTTAGACTTTGAATTGAATATAAATTAAAGAGTTATCCTTCCTGACTGAGGATCGGAGTAGCTTAAGAAATAAATGTGTTTGGGCTTTTTAATTCTGTGTTTTAAATTTATTGTGCGCTTTATAAAAATTGACTGTATGTAAAGATTGATTGATTAGATACACGACAGATAGAAGTTTAAAACGATTGTTCGCCAAGATTATCATTTGTCATGGTGTATACTTATCCACGTGGTAAACTTGTTAATTTATTAATCCTCGATACCAAAAATATATTAAAACGAGATAAAGGTGGCAAGCTTGCAATAGTTCACACAGAAGAGGTCAGGGGTATGTTTTGAAAAGATTACGTCTCATAAGAGCATTATCTTCAACATACTTGACCAGGCATGTGTTTTGATCAAAGACCGGGAATGAATGTTGGTTGAAATTTAAAAAGACTTATATTAAGTACCGAATTTTATTGATTACCTCTACTAACAAAATGGACAAATACACGCAGAAATGGACTGATCAGTGTATAAATGTTTTGATGTTTATTTTCGTGTATATTGTATCAATGACACTTCTGACTTTGATTCTGCAGCCTTTTCTAAATTGTGAACGCAATGATGCATATACTTCCATAAAACCCGTCAGTGACTTTAGAGGTCCGTTTATATAGGTGGTCAAATAAAACATATTTGTTAGACTTAAGATGGCAAGACTCAATGATGTGGACCAAATGCTTATCGCTTCCTCATTGTTCCATTGACGTGAAACAGAGGGCAAGTGACATAAAGAATGTTCCAGACTTGTCTGTAGAAGTTCAGTTTGATACGTTTATAACGTCCAGGGGTGAAGTCTTTTGACTATAATAGCCATGACTACATGCAAGTACAGTATGAGATGTGCCAAGAAATACGTATTGTTGGTGGCGGGAATCTCCCTTTTCTTAGCTGGAATATTCATAATCAAACGGAAGTCAGCAAAACATTGTGTGAACATTCTTGGGGATAAATACTCTTCGCATGTACAGGAGACTACTGTTGTGTTTCCACTCAAGGAGAAACTGGAGGAATATAATTATGAGACCTTATTTTGTCTATATGAGATGTATACAAGAACTCTACAACATCATTGCAAAAGGCTCCGCCGGTTTGGCGAGATTCAGAGAAAAGGTTGGTATGTGTGCCTAGACTTTTTGGACCCAGCGCCTTACAACTGCAGTGTTGTTTCAGCGAATTCGGTATTTGATGAGTCAGTGTTCGTCAGGCATGTTGAAGCCTATTGCAAATGTGAGCATCATAAATACAAGGTGAATGAATTGGAAACCGAGTTCAAGAAAACGAGAACGTTAGACTTGGTTACGTTTTCCATCACAAATAGAGATGATTTGGTTTTGTTGAGGAACATTTTGAAATCTGACGGTGGCAGTGTGCGTCAGTTCTTAATTGAAATACATTCTTTAATGTATTTTAGTGAAGGTGTTAAAGACCTAATTTCCGTTTTGCAGCTATTGTATCAGCAAGATTTTAGATTAGTGTGGTTTGATATACCCTACAGCTGTGTTCCATTACACAATAACCGAGCATATCAATGTATAAGTCTTAATTTTGTTAGTGTCTCTAGCGGCGGAAAAAGACCTAAGAGTAAAGTCAACAGCAATCTTTTATTATTGCCAACATCACAGAATGTGTGGGAAAAGTTGTCTCGTGTTGATTTAGCAATTTCGTTATATCATGAATACCTTTCCACGGTTCAATTTCATTGCAAGCATATTGTAAGAATGGGTAAAGTCAATGATGGTGGATGGGACATTTGCCATGATTGTATGCCGAAATCAGAGACCAAATCACCCTGCATCGTGTACTCTTTTGGAATTGAAAACGATTTTTCTTTCGATGACGATATATCAAACACGTATGGATGTCAGGTGTATTCATTCGACCCAAGTATGGGTGTGGAGGACCATCAACGTTCAGATAAAGTAAGATTTTTTAACAAGGGATTGTGGAATAGTAAACGTTTATTGCAACGAGCAAGAATGTACTGGAATGTAGACACTTTTGAAGGGATCCTAAAAGATCTGAAGCATGTAAAGACACCAATAAAAATCCTGAAAATGGACATCGAACGTTCAGAATGGATTGTTTTGAAACAAATTATTGATAACGGTCTTCTTCTAAACGTAGAGCAATTTTTAGTGGAATTTCACTCTATGGGTGATAGGGAAAAACTTTTTATTCTTAAAAGTTTGTATGATATTGGTTTTCGGATATTTTGGTTTCATAAAAACCCGCTAGGATCAAACTACAAGACCAGGAACATCCCAGTAAGCAGTGCAAACGAAGTATCTTTTATCAATGTTGTTTACTTGAGAAAGAATGGCATGTTATGAATTGTAGAGCGCTTCAATAAAGTATTTAAAATGTATGTTTGCTGTTACTTTTGTATGTTACTTTTGTACATGTATATAAGAAATTTTGTATGATGTAATGTAAAGTCAATGATGCAGTGACGTTGATGAACGTCATTAAAATCAACGTCGACATAGCTAAGTAACTATGACAAGCCTGTATTTGATGATAAATCGACACAAAAATCAATGTATCAAGCAAAAATTTTGAAACTCTTCTGAAAGTTTTATTGTTTCACATTCCCTAATTTTATTTCATCAGTCAATGAACCTTTTGATGACTTCTCCTATGTCCCAATTTCTATAATTATCATTCTGCTAACTGAGATAAATCTTCACAACTGTCTTAGTTTTCTGCAAGAGTACGAATGAACATAAAAGCACTACGACATTTTTTCGATGTAACTTTAGAAACAGTTTTTAGCCAATCAAAATCTCTGTGCGGGATTAGCACATACCGTTTCTTTAACGGAGATAAAAGAAAACATCTCCCGTCTTATTTTTATACTCAACAACATGTTTTTAGTACGATCAATTTTAAACAAGGGCGTACTACTGACAAATATGGTGATGTTACAGGCACCTCAACAACCTTGTTTAAGTCTGCTTTTCGTTAGTTCTCTATGACATCTTGCTAACAAATAGAATTTTTATGTCTGTTATTTGTTTGTTTGGTCGTATTTTAGCTGACCTTTTTAATTTATAGCGTATTTTTAATATTGAATTCGACTACCTAGGAATGTTTCCCATACCTGATCAATACATGTCTCATGGCAAGTGTGACTGGTCAACAGGGATGCTTACTGTTCCTAGGTACCTGATCCCACTACTGTAATTTCCAAGGGTCCGTGTTTTCTGCCCTCTTTATAGATTTGTATTGCGTATAGAATTTTGTTTTATCTCTTCTTTATCCTCAACTTTTTGCATTTCCGAAATTATTGTAACATGTATTTAGAGATTAGAGGTCGCAACATTTTTTCCGAATTTAAGCCTATCATTCCTAGATTTTTAGGTCACCTGAGTTTACTCAGGTGACCTATTGCTATCCGTTTTCGTCCGTCGTCGTGCGTTGTGCGTTAACATTTGAACATTTTCAGCTTCTTCTCTGCAAACACTGAACCAATTTCAACTAAATTTGGCACAAAGCATCTATGGGTAAAGGGAAACAAAACCTGTGAATTTCATGATCCCTGCCCCCCTGGACCCTGAGGGGTGGGGCCAAATCCACTAAAATAAATGCAATCTTTAAAAATCTTCTTCTTTACTCCTTGACATCAAGCAGTCAAACTGTTTGCATGATTGTAATCAGCATTGTGTTCTCTACCAAATTTGTGAAATTCATGGCCCTGGGGTCAGGGGTTCTAGTGCTAGGGCGGGGCTCTCTATTGATTATATAGTGGCTTTGAAAATCTTCTTCTCTGGGGTAATAAATAAACTAAGTACATAGTTATGATGGCTAAAACTGTTAATTATATAGTGTAATGCTATATTTCTTTGAAAATCTTCTTCTCTGCTCCTGGGTAATAAATACACTAACTAAATACATAGTTATGATGAGGTTCAAGAGTTCTTTGAGAATCTTCTTCTCTGCTCCTGGGTATTATATAAACTAATTAAGTACAAAATTGTGTGAATTTTATGACCCCAGGGTCAGGGTTTCTGGTGTTAGGGTGGGGCTCTATTGATTATATAGTGAAAATACATGTACATGAATTCTTTGAAAATCTTCTTCTCTGCTCCAGGGTAATAAATAAACTAAGTACATAGTTATGATGAGCAGGAGTGCCTCTACCAAACTGTTAATTTTATGACCCCAGGGTCAGGGGTTGTGTTAGGGTGGGGCTCTCTATTGATTATATAGTGAAAATACATGAATTCTTTGAAAATCTTCTTCTCTGCTCCAGGGTAATAAATAAACTAACTAAGTACATAGTTGCATGTATGATGAGCAAGAGTTCCTCAACCAAAATTATGAATTTCATGGCCCCAGGGTCAGAGGTTCTGGTGTTAGGGTGGGGCTCTATTGATTATATAGTGAAAATACATGAATTCTTTGAAAATCTTCTTCACTGCTCCTGGGTATTAAATAAACTAATTAAGTACATAGTTGCATGTATAATGAGCAAGAGTGCCTCTTCCAAAATTGTGAATTTTATGGCCCCAGGGTTAGGGTGGGGCTCAGGGAAAATACATCTGGTCTTCTTCACTGCTCCTGGGTATTAAATAAACTAATTAAGTACATAGTTATGATAATCAAGAGTGCCTCAACCAAAATTGTGAATTTTATATAGTTCTGAAAATATAGTTAAAATACATGAATTCTTTGAAAATTTACTTCTCTGCTCCTGGGTATTAAGCAGATGAACTACTTATATAGTTATGATGAGCAAGAGCCCTTCTTCCAGAATTGTGAAATGCAAGGCCCCATGGTCAGGGGTATCATAGAGGGGGGGGGGCTCTACTTATATACTGAAAATGAATTAATTGTTTGGAATCTGCTCGTTTGTATTAATCAGATATTTTTGATAAGCGAGGGTGTCTTTTCAAAAATTGTGCAATGTGTGGATCTAGGGTCAGGGGTTCATGTGTGGTAGGGGCACTACTCAGATTATTGCTGAATATTACTGATTAGTTGAAATGCATTTTTTGTTTCCCTACCCTACCTATGGGTATTAAGTAACCAAACTAAGCAATTGTTGGGTATATAACAATTATAAAATATAAAATTGTGAATGCCATAGCATCTGGCTTAAAATATGAACCAAATTCAATCACTGGAAAGTCGTTGTGTGATGCTCAGGTGACCTATAAGGCCCATGGGCCTCTTGTTAAAGAGAGGAGATTATCAGAGAGTTTACAATTAAGCCTCCAACACTTTCGTCAGGATTTGAAATCTGATGAAGGAAGCATCAAATTTATCATTTTTTTTATTGCTTGGAAAAGTCATACAAATAGAGGATATTCAAAGAATTTTTTTTAAAAATATAATAAACAGAAAATTCAATGTTTTGTAAGCATCAAATTTATCATTTTTTTTATTGCTTGGAATTTTTTAAGTCTTTGATTTTTCCTTTGCCTCATACAAATCTCTGTACATATACTATTTGAAAAGTTGGATTTAGCAACATATTTCTGTTATACAGTTTTATGTATAATTTATTTTCATCTATCTTATATTAGGTCAAGGAAGATTTTTTTTACAGCAATCTTCGTTATGGACCACTTCTGATATTCCACACTGATTAAAAAAAAAATTACTATTTCATTGATAAATCTCTGTTCATATACGAAGAGTTTATACAATATTAGAGACAGATAGAAAAAAAAAATAAGATGAAGAGCAAATATATATATTTAAGAAAGATGTCAATTTAATGTTTATTTTATTAAAATTTTAACAATACAAAACAATAAAGACTTTGGTGAACATCAACATATAACAAACAACATTTTCAATGTGACATGTAAAAAAGTACAGATAACTATATCTGGAGGGAAAAACGTGTGTTGTAGGATTATGGAAATGAAAGCTTTTATGATGATAACTGAACTTAGAATATTTACAATATCAAGAAAAAAATGCTTTTTAAAAGAATGCCATTTTCTGAAAATTAAAAATGTGCACCATACAAACTCAGTAAATTTGACAACTAGTCGTAACACAGCATTACATGTATACATATTATAATATATTATTGATAAAACAAAATTCTTCTTTGAGACTTTTTAAAATCTGTCTTTATTTTCGATTATTTTTTGAGGGGGCAAAAGAAATTATAGGCCAGAAGTACATGTATTTGACATCATTTCACATCTTTTTTTTTCGTTAATCTATCAAATGTTGATTTAGAATTCCCGCGCGTATTTAAAACAAAAATAATTCAAAACGTAGTTTTCAAGATAACTACAAAAATATCGTACAGTCGAATATGGGGAAAGGGACGTTGTCCTGACAACAAGAACCCATAGAGAATCCACCCGATATTTAAACCAACAGCACAAGAACTTACAAAACAAAATATCACAAGAGTCTGATATGTATATTAGGTTATCACAATAAAAAATGTAAAAAAAAATCGAGGAAAGACTTCCATTCCACAAACCAATTCTTTATCTTCACAAGACAAAATACCAAAAGAACTATATGAAGATCTAACAGAAGTTTAAAGGGGAACAAATCATGTTTCTGGTTGTGGTTCCAAAGGATCCTCCTCAATTTTCGAAATATCTCCGCCTATGCTTTCATTTTCCATGCCTTCACTTGCATGATACTGTTCGTCTGCTGATGACGCACTATCAATCGACCAATAAGAGCTGTCGGTGAGTTTCGATCGTCTGCTCGATGTAATTGCTGGTTCGGGTTCTTCTGGCAAATCTTCCAATACGTCAGGATTCATTTTTTGCAGCACCTTCCTCTGTTGTTGAATAAGAAAATCTAGTTTTGTTTCTAATTTTTGGACTTTAATTTCAACAACTTTGACGTGTCTTTTCTTCTGTTGCATTTGGTTCAAAATTTCATATCGGAAACTAGATATGTCCTGCTTTAATTCATCAAGTTCAGCTGAAATGCAAAGAAAACTGGTTTTTACAATTATGTAATGATTCTTTCTATTTAGGTTAAAGAATTTAGGTTTCTATTCAGGTAAAAGAATTTGAAGAAAAAATATTACTTGGGCTTTAAAATCTTTATTCATTTGATATCATGATAATTCCAATCTTCATTTTATCTATTGATTTCCTGTGTTTTGATTGGACGAGAACACGTTCCAGAAAATTTTTACACATCGATAAATTCTTTCAATCAGTACTACTTTCTTGAACACTACTAGGTTATCGTATAAACAATGAAAGCAGTTATTTCTGTCTGTTTTAAATAATGAATACAAGAACTTTAAATTTAATTAGGGCTTAAAGTAAAACAAAACTGGCAACATACTAGACTGCCTAACTGATGGACGCCGTGAAAATGTTTATGTCACTGTCCGATCACGAGTGTGAATTTTAAAAACCGCTGTCTCAACGTTCATACGCAGAAAATAAGCTCAGTCTGTATCGTTTTGACAGGGAAAAGAAACGTACCTGCTCTTGCCCTATTAGCATCAATTTCCTATTAACTTTCTATATTGTTCCTCAATATTTGAATAAACAAGTGCAAATTGAAGGCGTCGTCTGTCTGCAAATGAGAATGTCAACATGGCCATGGTCAAAGACGAACTATTCTGAAGTAAACTTAATTACGATATTTGTTGACTTAAATAGCATTCCATTAGTTGTTATAAGTTTATTTATCGATTGTTTTGACAATTTAAGTTGAACTCTATCGAAATTCGTCTCGATTACGTTCCTTTACGGTAAAATGTATTCCTACGCCGTCCAGATTAACGGATTGTATGGAGGCCTCAAAGAGAAATAATTTAAAATATTTTTAAAAATTCGAGATTGGAATTATAAGAATTAAACGTTCTTTTTGAAAAATTTATCGATGTGTAAACTCTTGACATTTTACTCACAAACTTAACATAAAAGTGCTTCGCACTTTTATTTAGTTTGTGAGTAAAATGTCAAGAGTTTACACATCGATAAATTTTTCAAAAAGAACGTTTAATCCTATAATAATTGCTATAAACAAAAAATAAGCTAAATAGTTCAGTATCCCCCCAACGATTGATGGAAAAGGAGAGTCACATCAAAACATACCATCTCTATTCTCTACATCTCTCTCCATGTCAAACACAAATCGTTTCACAATTCTCTTCATTACTTTCTATTGAAAAGAAAATAAAACAAATGTTTTAAAGGACGTTTGATAATGAATTTACTAGACTGTCTATTCCATTTCATAAGTCAACTGTAAATTAGCTTAGTTATGAGATGATAATTTAATACCCTATATGTAAGTTTTTCGTCACGAATTATGCTTTTGTTTGAATCGTTCCGCATAAAGCCATTAGTAAGTCTTTGCTGTGCTGGAGTTCTTGGTGGTAATTTAGGCTTCTGTGAAGGAACAAGACTACATTCAGACGAATTAAACTTCCTACTTTGTTCATGTTCAATTATTAGTCATTATATTTAATACAGAGTATTAACTTCCTATATTTTTTTTACAAACTTGAATAATTTAAATTTATGATTATTTTCATTACATGTAATTTGATTCTGCAGAAAGCGTTGAATTGTGAATTGTAATATTATTACTTGAATGCAAAAATCATTGGAAAAGGAATATTAAATTTTACGTAAAACTATGCTTGGCTTTAAATTGGATTGGACTTTTGACTTTGGACGTTTTTTTTTAACAGATATTTTTTTTTTAAATTCTTAAATTCATTCAAAGGCCATTTTATCAAATTATGCAAAAGATCTGCATGAGTTACAGACCGATGGGTCCTCCACATCCTCTGACTCTTGGGTTGATTCGTTTTGTCCCTTTTTACAGCAACAAGAACCAAACATCCGACAAATCGATCGAGGGGTCGGGAAGATGTTAAAAGGAACTGGCAAATCATTACTATTCTTTATAAACTCCATGTAAATTTTACTTCTTGCAAACTTCCATTCGGTATCGGCTTCCTCCTGTACAGACATAACATGAAATTTTTGAAATTGGAAATGTTCAAAAATATATAAAACTGGTGGTATTTTCAGAAAAGAGTATGAATGATGCCATTCTTAATCTTGTTCTCCTCTCCCAAGATTTTTTTTTTCGATAAAAAAAAATCGACACCAGAATAACCAAAATCCAAGGAAAACGGATCAATATTGATTTAATATATCATAAAAGTATTTTTGTGCCTTTTCAATATATTTGAGAAAAGAAAGCAATTTTAAAAATTTTGGCACATTTAATTCAATTTTCATGTGCCTAATTAATTTCTCTTGAAGACAGAAATATTAATTTACCTGTATTTTTTCAAAAGATCTGGACATCATAGCGATGAGCATGTTAAGTAATACAATGACGGTAGCAATGTTGTAAGCACCAAAGATCCAGTACCCGACGTTCTGAGTAAAATAGTGATCAAAGGCGCCCAGTTCTACCACGGTGGGTTCACCAAGGGAAAACAAAGACCAGAATACCGTGTGAAATGTCGTTGGACTAAAAAAAATAGTTTATTGATGAATTCAGCAAGATTTTATGAATTCAGCAGGATTTTCTTGCACTAGAAAGGCTGAATTGGATCAAGTAAAATGATTGAAATTTTTTGTCTTCCCTATGCACAAGGTTTCATTTTCCTTGCCGAAAGAAGACAATGTTAAAGACGATTTTTTTTTTATCAAAAATTCAATGTTTTTGACGTGAAATATTTTAAACCTTTTATTCATAATAGTACGTGTATATTTGTTATTTTATATGAATCTCTTGAGAATAAATATGTATAGAATATTGAGAAAAGAGCATAAAAATACCAAATAAGAAATCAAAATTTCTCTGAGAATACTTTATATTTGTTGATAATTTGCAATGAAAATCAGGTCAATAAAATTTGACAATTTTCCCTATATAATATGATTAACTTTAATCTTTAACTTTAAAGAAATACACATCTATTTATTTCTTCACAGAATCAAATGATAATAAATTTTATGAACTTACAAACCAAATGCTTTTTCTGCTGATGTGGTTATGTTGTTTGGGATAAATTCAATATATTTCCTTGTTTCCTTTGGATAATACCAGTATAGATTGTGTAAACCAACCAGAAACGCCACAAAAACTACCATGAAAATCACAGCAAACCGGAGAATATCCTAGAATACGTTAAAAATCAAAACCATAAATGTAGATGAATTGTTTTTTGGAAAAAAGCACACGTATGCAAAAATTAAACAGTAAGTATTATGCAAAAGCACTAGTAGACATTTCTCATTTTCATACATTTTCATAGACCTTCTAGTGAGAAAGGTCATATACTTGAGTGATAAATGTATTTTTAACATTTTTTTTCATTTGATTGCAGTTGTGCTAAACTGCCTTTAAAATACTTTACCCCAATCATTCTTGTTAATGAAATCTGCATCGGTCCAAACAGTTCATAAGCGTGTAATACATGAGTAACACGGCAAAAACTGATGACGTTTGCCATCGCAAACATGCCGTCTGCCACGTTGTGTGGGTCCATGGAATCCCAGTAGAATCGATCTTTTAAAAAATGAAATTCAAATATAAAAAATGTTATTTACAAAATTTAAGGAATTTTACAATATACAAAGTTTGAGAAAATGTAATTTATCTTTCAAAGGGTTACCTGGTTGAAAAAAATAAGATTCAATAATTCTAACTGGCTTATCATTATTTCTCATTGAATATTATTAGTTTTCTGTTGTGTTGCAAGCAAGTCAGTTTAATATTTAGAAATTCATTACTTTTCTGTTGTTTTGCAAACAAGGGAGGTTTAATTATGATATCTTTGATCAAATTTTGCTTTTCATCTTGGAAATTGTTTACAATCTGTTTCTTTCTGTATTTTGTTCCCATTTCATACTAGACTTAGATGTTTTCAATTAATAATTCAGTTATATTTCTGGTTGTTACATTAAATTTCAACAATATTATTACAACAGTTCCTTCAAAAACAATTACAAAAACAATCCCCTATTTTTATACAGTAAAACACGATTAATAACAACGCAATAACGAAGGGCAAGAGATTTTGCATAATTTCGTTTTATCCGGTTAAGTTTACAACAGATAATTATGTGAAGGGGAGTTAAAATCACTTAACTGTAAGTGTTAATTCGTGTTTAATTGTATTTAGATACCCGTTTTAAATTTAGACTTGCCTGCAATGATCCAATATAACTGTTCCCCTGCTTCCTGACTGCCATAAAGTAGACCTCGCCAAGACAAGCCATTCTCAAAGTACCTCAAAGCCATTCTAGTCTACAGTGTAAAAGAACTATCATTAAATTATTCTTAATGAAACTACCCAAAAATTTCATTTGAATAATACTAGCCTATTTCAAAATTGCTAGAATAAGTTGTTTTGTATTGAGTAATGCCAAAATTTCCTTGACAAATTCAAAGTCGAAATACATCTCAATGCTTATAAGAAGATAATAGAAATAATTTTTTCTCCTATATGATATTTTGAATGAGATTTTTATGAGAATTGCGTCACTTACCTTAAATATGCTAAGATATCTCAAGGTAAAGGAAGTGATGTACAGTGTTAGGACTGCTACGTCCATATAATTGTACAAGGAATCAAAGTAATTGGAGATTCCATCACTGTACACCTGTTTCATTTCTTGTAATAACATACCTATAAATGTAACCCAGTTTTTAATTATTTTTTTGTCATTTGAGTCCATAATCCAATGAAATGCATGAAATTGGGGGGAGGGGTGTTCAACAAAAACATACTGGGCAAAAAGTTCTATAGTTGTTTGTTAAACATGAGAAATAATTCTTTAAAAAGCTTTAATTTCTATATATATTTTTTTCTTTAAATTAAAATGCTCATTTTATTTATCCGAAGTACGAATGTACTTGAAAGACATTACTTTGTTTTATAATTTGATTAAAGATAATATTTATCATATGTAATATGATGGTACCACTTCCGTATACTTTTTCGGTTATCTGCATAAATTCATAATAAAGAGAAAAGAAAAATACAGAAATTTTAATTACCAAAAACCCAGAGAGACAAGAGGATGGTTATAATATCGGGGCTATAGCCGCGGATTGCAAAATCGTCTGGCAACGGTTGAGTGCTCTGATTTTTGTACCATCGATATTTCTCGTGTGTTGAGAGGAAGAACGAGAGTTTGTTGGTCTCTGTCACGCCTTCTGCCAATGTAGATATTAGGATAAGCGTAAGGAACAATAAAAAGGAAAGCGTGTGACCAATGAATCGGATACATGGAATTTCTATCAGTTTTCCAGCCTAAAAGAAGACAAAACATTCATTTGATATTCTGAGTTCAAATAATTAATAATGGAGTTGCTGAAAGATATGGAATCAAATTGCAATCTGATCATTTTGTTTCTTCCACGAATCTAACCCAGTGAAGATAAATGTACCTTTGTATTGGGAGCGATCCAGTACAACAAAGACAGGAATGGAAATGTAAAAGATATCCCTAACACGATAAATATCCGTGTGATCCAGTGGGAGCGTTCGATGATCCGGAAGTCATCATACCAGATACTTACTAGCTTCTGTTGACAGCTTGGATGAGCCACAAACTAATAAAATTTAATCATCGATTTTACAAATACATGTATATAAAGTAAGAAAGGTATTTTTTACGGATAAAAAAGACCCTTTTCCATCATAGGAAATATACATTGTATATAGCTAGACCATCTCTAAAATATTATTTGCTTACCCTCTCTCAATTCAGTGTAAAATTATTTTATTGGAAGGTAGGTGGGAAATTTTTTCACGAGAAAATTTCAACATATTTATTGACGGAATAAAATGATTTAAAAAAAATTATCGTGTCCTGGAAAAAGTATTGTGTCGGGCCATTTTTAGTCACTTGGTCGTGAGAGGACAAACGATCATTTTTTTTAAGATGGCCCTATAATTAAAATTTAATTATTCTTTTCTTGTCGCTCGTTATATAAGTATTCCAGTTTTTCTCACTTCTTAAGATGTTAACAAAATTTTGAACCTTTTTTTCGTTGCATTGGATGGCTATTTGCAGTCGTGCCAGGAGATCGTAAGATTCATCCTGCGGGTCTCGACGCTTTTTGTTTATCAGTTTTTCCAGTTCATCATGACCTCTGACCTTGTCCAACAGTCTAACCACATAGTCACTAAGCTGGTCGGCAAGTGCCAAGTATTCTGTCTGTACAACAGTTTTGCACATTAAAATCAGAATTCTTCATAAATTGTTTAACACATTTCTTATCCCTTTCATCAACTAAAATGAGCTTCTGTTAACCTCTCAACATTTGATATCATTCAGATAAATACAAAAAAATGTAACATGTCAATTACCTTGAAACTTTTCTCAATTGTCGATACATATCGAAGCTCTTTGGCCAATTCAAAAGCTGTCAACACAGGGTCTTCGCTCGTCAGCGATATATACGTACAACTAGCCAATCCCTTATAAGCATTTAAGCGAGTTTTTGCCAAACGCAGCTCATCGAATTCCAGTTTGTTGCTACATTCCTGGCAGCTACAATAATAATGGTGTGGCTTCTTGATCTTCTCTCCACGTAGAAGCAACAACTGAACGATCTCGATCTGATTTCGTTCTGCAGCAAGTATGAGAGGAGTAATGTCCGAAGAGAAAGGCGAGTCTTCCTTTGTTTGGTTGAAGAAATGGTCCGTCTCCCCTATTCGTTTGTTCTTTGGCTTAAGTTCTATATATTTAGGATGTTTTAAAATGGATTCTGCAATGTGTTCATGACCTTTGCTGATTGCATGGAGCAAAGCTTCATGGATGTTGGTTATATTTGAATGTCCTAAGAGCAATTCAACAACCTGCAAAGAATATGGATAAATACATAATTATAAACATTTAACTGTAAGGGAAAACAATTATATTGTGTTTATTTAAGGTTGTATGCAGTCAAGTAAAATCATTCTTATTTGGCAAATGTGGATATTTTAAAAAACAAAAAATTAAAATTACAAATTGAGAATTAACAAATCAATGCAATGCAAAGTATCTAAGGTACACGAGTACATGCTACAAAAATAAATTTCGTGCTAAAAAGTGTATAAGGGTACGTATATAATGTCTAGGTATTCATATATCAGAGTAGTTTTATCATTTTCTTCATTTTAATTATTTACTTGGTGTCTTCTGACAAAGAGAGTCATATGCTAAAACCATAATGAAATATATATATTGGCAAACATTTAAATTAAAAGATAATAATTTTTTTTTATATTTTTCAAAAAATATCTCAATCTAACTGAAAAATTTGCAATGTAAAATAAAACATAACACATAGGAAATATTATCTATTTATTTGAATAAAGGCATATATAAGGCATACAATTATAAGAAAGCAAAAAATTGTACAAATTTTCAGGATATAATGTTAAAAGTTCAAAATTTGTTTACTTTTGATAGACAGTGTCTCTCTTTCTCACTTTCTACTGGTCGAAAAAAAAAATTGTACATTTATGACAAGAAAAGGATGCAAAAAGCTGAATGATAAAACTAATCCAATAGCATTCTGAATACGGAATTTAAAAAATCATTGTCTTTTCTTGCAGACTTTATTTCACCTGAATGAAAATCAGAAAAGAAACTATTTAAAGGTTGGATCATAAAATGTCTGGACTGCACTTAATAAAAATCAAGCTATGAGAATAACACTTCTGAAGATCATCATGCGTCTTTTTAGACTCGCTAACAGATAACCTAATTTCATTGATATCTTAAAATTTATAACCAATATGATGAAAAAAAATGTCAATCGCGCAACAATTTCTTTGTAATGTGATTTTCTTTTGAAAGTGCTGTTCAATCAATAAGATACGATTACCTTTTAAGCAAATACAATTTTTAAATTTATTCCCGAAAAAAAAAATCAACGAAAACGGAGAATTTTTAAAGCGTTTTTTTCAATATTTTTATTAAAGAGCGCAACCTTTCATCTAAAATAAGCACCTAGTAATTGATAGAACTCTTTCTTCGGATTACAATAGATGTTTTATTTTTTTGGATGCAAAGTACTGGGTGCACAAGTCATTGCTTTTTAGCGAGACAACTTTTTCCCGAATTGTGGTTATTGCTCTCTATAATCTTAAGAAATGCTATTGTACGCGAGAATTAAATTTTCGCGAGTACAGTACTCAAATACACCTGTTGACATTAAAAATAAAGAAAATTAAATTCCATAAAACTTGTATCCCTGGACCTGGTGTTTAAGGAGAAAAAAGTTTATAGGAAATGAAAGTACTAAGTCTCTACTTTATTTTGATGTTTAAAATGGAACATAAAGTGTTAGTCAGAAGAATATATCTACAGGCCTGGGGAAAAAGTGAGACCAAAAGTAAAACTGATGCATAAAGTGAGCTCTTTCAGTTAAAAGTCTTTTGATCTATATATGTCTCACTTTTTTTTGTTACTGCTATATATTCCTTTGGAAAAAGTGAGTTATAACTTTTTTGTTTTGACTTATTTGTTGTGATCAAAAGTGTAGAAAGCTATTGAAAACCTGTTGCTTGGCTTACTTTTATGATAAATATGATATTTAGTCCTATTTTAACTGTGGTTTTTTTAATTAACAAATTGAAGCCCCAGTTGTGATTTCTAAAGTAAATATTCTTTTTGTTGTTATAACTTAATTCTTATTTTCTAAAAGTTATTACGTTTCTTATATGTAACTTCCAGTTTGCATGATGATTTTTCACTATATTTCATTTTGTCGTTAGTAATAAATTCAAGGAATTTTTTTCTAAAACTATACGCATTTTTCAAAGTCATAACAAATTCAAAATAACAAGAATTCAAAGTTAATTCATAAGATCTAAGTCAAAACACATAAGAAATAAGTCAATGTCTCTCAAGGGCGTCCGTAATTAACAGATAAAAAAAGCTCGTCTCAGTTTTATGGCCCCCAGGCCTGGGCCGTTTTATGCATAAAGTGAACCGAGCTCTTTCAGTTAAAAGTCCAGTAAAATTAGTTTACTTAAATCTTTTCTATATATGTAATGGTTATTTTAAATTAAATTTACTGTACATGTTTCTATGCATTTTTTGTTACATTCCAAGCATGGTATAATTTCAAAGTTTAGATGTGATAATTTGTTATTTGTTCATTCTTATTTGTACGGAAGCCCTGGAGGGACATTGACTTACTTGTTATGACTTATTTGTTATAACTTTTTTGTTTTGACTTATTTGTTGTGAATGTTTCGTAGCTAGTTATAACTAAGTGTAAGAAAGCTATTGAAAACCTGTTGCTTGGCTTACTTTTATGATAAATATGATATTTAGTCCTATTTTAACTGTGGTTTTTTTAATTAACAAATTGAAGTTTAACGTCCAGTACAGTTGTGATTTCTAAAGTAAATATTCTTTTTGTTGTTATAACTTAATTCTTATTTTCTAAAAGTTATTACGTTTCTTATATGTAACTTCCAGTTTGCATGATGATTGACAAACTGACAATCACTACTATTTCATTTTGTCGTTAGTAATAAATTCAAGGAATTTTTTTCTAAAACTATACGTTGCCTTCATTTTTCACGCCACTTTTTGTAAACTAAACTTGTCATAACAAATTCAAAATAACAAGAATTCAAAGTTAATTCAGAAGATCTAAGTCAAAACACATAAGAAATAAGTCAAAACATAAGAAATAAGTCAAAACATAAGAAATAAGTCAAAACACATAAGAAATGTCAATGTCTCTCAAGGGCGTCCGTAATTAACAGATAAAAATTTAGTAATCACATCAGTTTCGTACGTTTAACTACAAAACTACAATTAATAGTTCTCAATAGCTTACCTACACTTTGTTAGAACTAACAAAAAAAATCTCAAAACAAATAAAGTCAAAACAAAAAAAGTTATAACAAATAAGGCATAACAAGTAAGTCAATGTCCCTCCAGGGCTTCCGTATATTTGTTATTTCTTGAAACATATTTTTACTCATTTCATCAATTTTCTTACTTGTAACTTCCAGTATGCATGATGATAAAACAAATAATAAAAGTAGTATTTTTTTCATTATTATATAAAAAAAAAATCAAAGACAAATTTTAAAATTAAACTTGATAACTAATGTAAACTGGTAAAGGTTTACAATAAAATTATTAGAACAAAGTCCAAACACCTAAGAAGTAAGTAAATACCCCTCTAACAAATCATTTCATGGGTAATTAATTTTGAATTTTTCCTAAAAAAAACTCAAATTTCGAACTTTACAAATTAATTGAAATCTGAGAGTAAAAAAATAATAAAGGTGTGATTAATACAAACACATTGTATGTACTACTGTATCAAATTAACCATACAAATTCCTAGTATTTTTCATTTCTATTCTGAAAAGTCTTTTTTACGAAAGAAATATACTGATAATATCTAATGAAATAAACATGGCTGGGTTGAAATCAAGAATATTTCTTTTAATTAAAAAAACGATTAATCAACACCAGAAACTAAATTTAATGAACTTTATGACAATGATATTTAGAAATAAAGTATTATAAAATGCACCAGTCTGCCTTTTCCTATTCATGATACATGATATAAGCTCAATTTTACATACTTTGGTAATTAGCATTGATATATACATAAAGATACAAAGAAGATGATTTTATGAACCAATCATGTAGATGCCCATCCTGTATTTTCGTGTATTTTTCTAATTATTCCTACAATTATACATGATAAGGGAGGTTATTGGTCCTCGTTCAACCTGTAACTCAAAGCTTTCTTTGTGCTTTAATCTTTTGTGTGAATGCGGTTGGAAAATTCCATCGTGCCTCTCGTTTGCTTCGGCCATTTCGTGATCTAAAAAGCAATGAATCGTGATTTATTGCAGTCAATTATATATCCTAAATGAAGAAAATAATATCTCCTACGAAAAAAAAAAATACTAAGGCATAAAGACTTTTTTCTAATACGCCATAGAACCTAACAAAGACCTATTGTCGACATTTTTTTATCGCATAGACGTACGCTACAAAACAAAATATTACAAACAATATTTTTCAATATTTACCACTGACCATAAGTTTTATAATTCCAATTAATTTCTCACTTTGATACAATCCTTTCCTATTTTTCACAAAATATTTTAAATAAAGGAAGCAAATATTTAATATCAAGTCTATTACGTAAGTAGTGAAAAAGAATACTTTGAAAATCATTAGATGGGAGAAAACGTAAGTCATACGTATAAACCTCATCAATTGTAATCTCTTATGTAATACATAATGAATTATAATTCATGTTATATTATACCTAAAAGAAAATTCCACTAGAGATTGCATTTCGAAGACTTTATCAAGGGCAAATATTTTTGCCAATAGACAATTTTATTGACTTTGCCAGTTTCAATTTATTTGTAAAATAAGGAAAAATATATCAAGACAAAATGACTAGAGAAATTGTAATATTATTTCAAAGAAGTATGTTTCATTTTGAACTTGTTTTTGTATTTTAGGTTAATAGACTATTTGCAATTGTTCAGTTAATTCAAACAATTTAATTTTTTTTTACATAAACCCAATTACATAAACCCAATTAATTAGACTTCAGTCACAGAATGCAAGGCAAACTGAATAACAAAAAATAAAATATGAAGCAGACCATCCTATGTCTGGCACTTTTACGTACATAAGTAAGTGTAAACATTCTTATTTTCGAAGCCAAAATAACAAATGCTCAAAGAGAAAGAACATGTATGCTTTAAATAAAGAATGGAAGCATACAAGGCGAGGACAATCTCCCGCTTTGAGAAAAGACATTTCTCAATTCTAAGAGTTCATGAAAAGAATTCATATTTTTCAAAATAATACGCTTAATATAATCTTTTACACATTTAATTCTGTATTTCATTGTTTAAATGTATTTTTCACTCGTGTTTTAAATATATGTGAAAACAAAAAGGGGGAAACGTTCACATAAGATTCTCTCTCCGTCGTGCATGGTTTGGCGCCAGACCAAACGCGTTACCCACTACGCTACTAAGTATATGTGTTGTTGATGTCTGTCAGTGTGATTTAGGGTAGTCCGATCCTCAGATTTATAAAATTAGCAGTTAAGTCATCAAAAATACTCATAAAAGTATCTCTGAATCCACAAAGTTATGTGAATTTATCCAAAGTATTTCTTTAACCTTAAAGATTAAAGTTAATCATATTATATAGGGAAAATTGTCAAATCTCCAATATTTTTGCAGAAAAAGCGAATTGGAATTGGAATATCAGCAATGTATTTTCAAATTGCAAATTGATCAACAAATATATTTTAGGTTAAAAAACGATAGGTATCCAGGCATTCAGAGAAATTGTCACGATATTTATAGTTATTTGGCATTTTTTGTCTTCTATTTCCGTCATATATTCTATAATACTTTGTGTAAAAGCCTTTGCTATCATTGCAAGACACCACAAATCACTTCTTATTTAATATCATGCTGATAAGCATTGGTATCTAAGTCTGGATTCAAGAAAATCTTATTTCTCTAAAACTGTATTGAATTTTTTCCTTTTATAGGATACAAATGTCAACTTTTATAAGACCTTTTTTCTAAGACTTCCAAAAACTTTGAATCTTATAAAGATGAAAAAAAAAATGAAAATTGTTGCATGAAAAAATTTCATTTTCAATTGCAGGCTTCATCTTCATTTTAATGCATTTCAAATTAAATATTAATTTTTGGAGTTATCCATCTTGGCTGAGGATCGGATATCCTTAAATGAAAGTTTGTTGGAGCGTACATTTTTTTTTTCAGAAATGTTTGGTTTTCATATATAATGGGTTCAAATTCCATTTTTGGGACAGATGAAATGTAAATGTAAATTACATTTCCATCTGTTAAGCGTTAACGAAGAATGGAGACTTGACCCATCACATTTCCATCTTTTAAGCGTTCACGAAGAATGGAGACTCGACCCATTCATGTTCCAAATTCATTTTCATGGCTCTAATAAATCCATTTTCTACTAAATATGCTTAACTGTCAATTAAAAAAAGATTGTTAAATAATACGACGTTCGGTAAAATAAAATAATAATATATGTTTTGAAGATGACATTACTGAGAACATGATTTTTAAAAAATATTCCTTATCACTGAATTTTGAAAATTCAGAAACATATTATCTCAGAACGAGGGATTGTCCATGCTTTGTACGCCCTCATTCTTTAAATGTGATCCCCAAGTTTCACACGGCAAATTAAACTCAACTAAATTTCACCAAAAAATAAATAAATAAAATATACCGGTGCATTTTAGAATTAAAACTAAGCTTATTAATACATGTACACACCTACCTTATTTTTTTCCTGTCGGACTGGAATAAACTGATGAGAAAACCAAACAACGTTGTTAAACGGTACATGTAAGTCATTATGCCGTGTATACTTCTTTATTACGTGTATCTGTCGCTTTCGAAATTAGTATGATAAACATTTTATCGTTTTATAAAATGAATTTTCTCCATTAAAAAACCTTTCATATATGAAAAATAAAAATGAAACACCATTATCGTTGTTCATTTATTCTAACCAATCTCGAAACTTAAACATATAACATGCAATTATACGATCTTTGCACGGATCTAGAATGGTTATTAATACTTTGTACATGAAATATCAAGAAAACTAGTTGTGAGTACAGTAAACATTAATTTCTGAAAACAAAAGTGGAAACAGGTGCCAAAGAGGATCAAGCATTTCCTGACGACCAGTCACAACCACAGCGTATTTTTTGTTACGATTGTGTAAAATATATAAATGTCTAATAGCGCCAACTTTTTTTTTTAAATACCAAACAGGAACTAAATAAAATACGATTCATGAAATAATTGCATTCTTTTTCGCAAAAATTATACTACCTTTAAATTTGAGTTAATGTAGTTTTTTACTTAATTTTTTTTTTTTTTTTTGTAAAATGTTGCATTAAGTTTTGGTTTGCACTGACATAGACTTTATGAAAATAATAGGCTTACAATTTGTATGAAAGACTTTAGTCACTATTCGATTGAACAGATTTTATTTGCAAACAAGATCATTTTAGCGATCAAAGAGCAAAAGCCACTTAGGGCTTTTTTGGCCCTGAGATTTTTTGAAAAATCAAAACTGCTCAGTTTAGACCGAAAATGCAGTATTTATAACAGACTCTTGGTGACTTTGTATATCTATTAAACACGAAGTAATTTCCCTTTTAGTCAGTGCATTATGACGTCATAAATGAGTGCGTTTCTGAGGAAGGGGAACTGAGTGTAATTCGGTATTAGATACTTTGTGTTACTATTAGTACTATGGGTTAAATTTTATTTACAAAAGAAGTGCCTGTGGTGAACAACTAGGCATTTGGAGAAAAATTGTATGTTTTTAAAAAAACTATACGTTTCAATGTTTATGCTATATAACATTTAGTGTGAAGTTTATCATGCTTTTAAGGAGAATTACGAAATCTCCAATAATTTATATCTAAAGGAAATGTAAAATCTGCCATATGCATTTTCTAATTGAAAATTAAGCGTACAAATACATTTGAGGATGAAGAATTATAGATATCAGACTTTTAAAAAATTTCATGTTTTTATTCTTATATGGTACTCTTTAAATTCCTTTATTTACTTCACACATTTTATTATTCATATTATCATGCTAATTAACACTGGTACCTGCATTGAAGGCTTCAGTTAAGGAAAGTCTTTTTTTTTCAAATACGTATTTTAAAGAAAAATATTTTTATGAGGTACATGTAGACTTAAAAAATGTTTCTAAGAACTTAAGGACTTATATAGGCTATGCCTGCTGTCCAATCCGTTTATGTATTTGTTACGCAATAAAATATGTTCAAATCAAATCAAACATTGTATCACATTGAGATGCCTAAACTGAAAATTGTTGCATGAAAAGATTTCAATTTCAGACTTCATTTTTAGAATGTTTGAATTAAATTATAAATTAAAGAGTTATCCTTCCTGGCTGAGGATCAGTTATCCTAAATAATAACATAGCCCTAAAAGTTTTTGAGTTAAGGTACTCACAAATATTCACACAAACCTCTAAATGTTCATTTGCAACTGCCAACTGCAGTGGTGTGCGACCAACAATGTCCGTGTAATCAACTGAAAATGGAAGCTGTTCTTTTTCTCTTTCTTTCAAGATAGATTTGATAGTAGGAAAATCTCCATATTCTGCAGCTTCTATAAATATCTCCTCCACCTCTGACAACTACAAATATAAATAAACACAATTATTCGCACAAATATTGACAAAGAAATTTAATAATCATGTATAATTCTGCTGCATAAATTCTTATGCTATAATTAAACTAAAGGTGTAAATATTCGTGTTGTAATTGTTTTTCGAAATCAACGATGAGTTAAGCTTTACATAATTTATTAAGACGCGAACGGTTTCATATAGTATTCCATACAATGCAAAACAATACATTTTATAAATTCAAATTTCCTAAGAATAAGGTTCACGCCATACTACGTTTCACGGAAATCCCAAAATTTTATCCCGTAAAAATATCCACGTTTACAGAACGTACATGTTTCAAATGAAACATTCAGCTGAAAAATTAATTGATGTTACTCATTTGATTCTTACTGAACTTTTGGCGTCCCATTTACGTCCACTAGATAACCCTAACTTTAGGTGTGATGATTTCCTCTTGCCCATAGGTCTTCGTGCCATTTTTCAAGAGTAGGAAGTCTATAAATGTATTCCTGGAAAAAATATATTACAATTAAACAATATCATCAATGATATATGGACCTTCTCCAGTATAAAATACATGTGTAAGCACAATTTTTTCGTTCTTTGCAGACCTGAAGGGTGGCAATTACTTTGGCAAAGTGTTCGAGTACTGCTTTGATTAAATATGAAAATAACGTAAAGTGATCATGCTCAATAGTCCCTTTATCAATTCAAATTTTGAACACAGCCAATACAAATCTCGAAAATAGAGATTGGATCAGGTGTCATAGGGGAGTAGGCATTCCTTGTATCTTTTTTGTTGCTTGTTCATCTGTAAAGAATGCTCTTGGGAATGGAAACAATTTGGAACCAGTATCTCTATATGCAGGTGATAATGTCATAATATTGCTCAAAGCAAGCTTCCCAACATAAAAAATTATGTAAATAAAGAAGTTATTAATGATGTTTATAAATGGGGTCAAAGTGTTCTTTACGTATACATGTATATCTTATGTTTCTGAGAGGTCGGTGGTATGTTTAGTAATTAGGCATATTCGTTAATTTCTTTGGACAAACAAGAAGGAAAGAACTTGCAAGTTTAAACATAACATCAAATTAAAAATGTCTGGGCTGCTTTCCAAGAATGTAATCTATGGTGAAAAAATCTTATTAACCTTAACAATATTACAGTATTTCAGTTAGGAAGAAGGTAAAGACATTATGACAACATTCTCCAGTGGCTGTTGTCACTTCATTTTTATAAAAAAAAACTCTGGACAATTGTTAAGGTTAGTAAAAAAAGACTTCTTTAAACCAAATTTAAACTATATATCAATATTGATTGTAAAAGTATTCATCATAGGAATGTGTACGTTGTGTTAAATATTAAATATTAATAATTGACTTCATAATTCTCTCTCTCTTTTTAAGAAACTGACTTTACATATCGCTATTTTGAAGTTTAACGACAATAATAGTGTTGGGTCTCGAAACGTTAAAATTATGTCTTCAAAATCACCGTAGAAGTAATTTTAAAATATATAAATGAAAAACAACATTTCAAGGAGCTCACGGCGGGTGTGATCGTTCGGCAAGGGATGCTCATTTCTCAATGGCACTTGATCCCAATTCTGTTGGTTTAGATCTGTATTTGCTTTGCTACTGATTTGTCTTGTTTTTTTGAATACTACAACTATAATCTATTTTCTTATTACAAGATATAATAGAAAATATTCTGTCTTTTGTACAGATGACATTTTAGATGTTGAGGGGGGTGGATGTGTTTGAGATATCTGTAGTGACAATAATATTATTACACTTATTTCACAAACAGAGGAAATAATATAACTTCATATCAAATTTGACTTATTTCATTAGTTTCTGTCACAGTCAATGTATAATCAATCAATGTACATTGCGATACATGGTTTGTACTTCCGATATGTTACATCGAATTATAAAACACCAGTCAAGTTTTCAATAGCCTGCTGGATAGCTCAATACGGTATACAGTTTTGTCTAACAAACATCACTTTAGGTCTGAATCTCGGTCACAAGGTTACTAAGGTGTATCATTAGAACTTACAGGTATCACTGAGTTGATTTCAAAGCTGTCAGAAGCCATATGTATATGCCAAGGTGTTCTGCAGTTAAACATGCAATATTTTTCTTAAATTGCAAATATTTTGCAGTTAGTTTGCAGCATTAATAAGTGACAACATCCCCCTCTCCCTTTTTCCATTTTTCTACAAAAATTAATACTGTAATTTTATGAAAGTAAATTATCACAAAATTATGCAGTGATGAGAGTTAAGACTGTGTTATCTTTAAATTCTTAGACTTAGTTCTTTCATAAATTGGTCCCCAAGAGTTAATATTTGCGGCTGCTGGCATTAGCGTAGTTTGATTCCTCGATCCTCAACATCCCCCATACTTTCCCTTGTTTTTAGTTTTCATACAAAATATGTTGTTTTAAAATTCTTAATCTAACGAGATTATAAAAATCTCACCAGATTATCAAGGGTACATGAAGAATTTTGGGAAAGTACATTATAAGAAGTGTATTAATAGTTCTTTTTTTTTACATACTAAGATGCTGGATTGAAAAATGTTGGACAGTTTAATCTAAAGCATGAGGTGTTGGTGTATTGTATGGTGATGTATTTCTGTCCCAACATGCAAGATAAATTATGTTAACTTGCAACATATTTATGTAGAATACCCTAAAATCTTGAAAATAAGCCGCGGCTTATTTTAAGTTTTGGTAAGAAAGTGGGGGCTTATTTTCAAGACAGGCTTATTTTCAAATTGCGGCTTATTATCATTGCAAAATACTGGTAATAGAAGAGAGCACTCTTGTATTCATTGGCTTTTCCAGGTGTACAGTCTACTTTATTTTCTGAGAATGCCGATCCCGAAAAGTTTATTTCATTGTATACAGCATATGAATTTACATGAAACATAAACTTGTTTTTAAAAAAGTAAAAGTAATATATAAGATATCCGCTTCAATTGAATTACTTGATAAATTAATCAAACAAACACATTGTTATACAACTCAGTTGCGGTACATTGAAATGTAATTACTACCAAGCCCTTCCGATCAGCAGGGTTCGATCTTGCCTTGGGCAGTACTACCTGGCAGTTAAATGCTTTACAAACAAAACTTCCTTTATCTATTTACTTATTTAATTATTACCACCTTTTAACACATCGTTAGCTTGTACAAGTCTAGATGAGATACATGTAATTATTGTTCTGACAATTTCATGAAAAAAATTCACCATTTTAGCTGGTTTCGCAATAAGTTCTTTTTAGCAAACGTACATGTAATATGATTAATGGCTAAAAAATTAACTTTATTAACAACAACTACTTTAGTAATTTTACAAATTTTTAAGACGCGGAAATCGTCAAACGTTTAACATCTGTCCTTAATGGATTTGTCATGACCGGCTTATTTTCAAAACTGGCTTATTTTCGAGTAAATTTTAATGCAAGAAATAGGTGGCTTATTTTCAAAACCGGCTTATTATTAAATCCGTCTTATTTTCAAGATTTTAGGGTATGCCACCATATTATTGTGTATTGACAAAAATGAAAATTTTGTCCAAAAGAAAATAAATTACATACCCTCGAATTGTTACTTGCTTGTAGGTCATGAAAATAGATTACAATAGATTTTATTTCGGAAGTGACATGAAATTGAATCAATTCATAGAAAGAATAGTATATTTTACTCGAAAAAGACGTTAATGGCAATCTAACAACGAAGCTCTATGACGAACGAGATGACTTTTACTTTTCAATCGTCAACTTTCCTTACTTATGCAGCAACATACCTTCACCACCTGTATACGAAATTTATATCTCTCGGTTAATTCGATACTCAAGAGCATGAAAATATATGCATTGCTGAAAGAGCTAGCATACAGAAAAATATCGCATTTTTATAGTAGAACACCTTTATAAATGTCTTTTTTAGTTAGCATATACAAGTAGTTCCTATAACATTGAAATCAACTCACATTTACCTGTCTAATTATACACCTTAGTAAACTGATTCAAACTTAATGTGATACTAGTTAGACCAAACTATACAACTTTTTGAGCTATCCAGGAAGCTATTGAAAACTTTACTGGTATTTTGTAATTAGCTGTGATTGATTAATTGATTGTATATTGTTTAACGTCCCTCTCAAGAATTTTTCACTCATATGGAGACGCCACCACTTGCCGGTGGAGAGCTACAAATTTTGTCCTATACTCGGCACTTAGGCCATTCAGCAGTGAGGGATCTTTTTCGTGTGAGCACCTATTATGACACGGGGCCTCGGTTTATACGGTCTCATCCGAAGGACCGGTCTCCACGTCCCACAGCTGGATTCGAACTCGCGACGTAAGGATTAACTCCTTACTTCGTTACACTAGAGCAGTCGCTTTAACCACTGCGCCACACGGGCGACTAAGTCGCTGTGATGTCATTTCGGTGGTAAAAACATGCTTACGATTCTTGAAGCTCTGGGTATCTTAATTAAATGATCTTACTTTGAACACAATGAAAATCTTGACAAACCATTTAGCTCGGTGATAAAAGTTATCTGAATAAAAATATGTTTGTAAATTGCTAACAAAATGGACAATTTAAAAAGAATACTGGTGTTTATAAAATGAATAGAAGAAGTTGAATATCTTAGAGTGGTTTGTTCCCGTTTTGCATACATTTGAATTTCAGCTTACATAACTGAAAATCCCCAAATTATTCACAATAAAACAGCAAAATTATAAATATTTGGTTGCTTTTTTGTTCAATTGCAATATTTTGTATTTTCTAAATGTCCAATTTCTTAGTTTACATAAGAGTACGAGTAAAGACCAGAAGTCTCTGTCAAGACTGAAGCTCTACTGGTTTGTACTTAAAGCAAAGGAAGAAGAAAGTACTTAAGCAGTTGGGAATTGAAACTTTACAACAGCAATAAATAGAATAATGATCCTTGAATAAGTCTCTTTTTGTTCTTAGTGTAGTCTACTTGCATGCCACATTATATTATACTCCGACTAAAACTGTCTTTGGAGTAGCTTTTTGAGAGTATTTCACAGAAATTTCTATTTTTAGTAACCAAGGCAATAATGTTCATTGAAGTCAAAACCGATATACAGATTTGTGTATCTTAGTGTAGTCTACTTGTGTGCCAAGTTATATTGAAATCAGACTAAAACTGTAGGAGGAGAGCATTTTGAAAGAATTTTACAAAAAATTCTATTTTTAGTAACCACGCCAACACCGTTCATCGAAATCAAAAACCAACACACAGAAGTATGTACCTTAGTGTAGTCTACTTCAAGTTATACTGAAAGCAGACCAAAACTGTAGGAGGAGTAGCATTTTGAAAGAATTTCGCAGAAATTTCTATTTTTAGTAACAACACCAACACCGTTCATCGAAATCAAAAACCGATAAAAAGAATTGTTATACCCTTATAAATATCATTCTATAT